TTCGTCCCGAAGCGTAGACATTTGAATTGAGCGCATCAACAGCAGTGTACCATGACGGATGCAGTCCACCGATAGCGCAGGAATTCGTACACGGTGCAGGAACTTGTATACATATGCAAACACGCGCTGCAGCTTTCCAAATGTGTTAACATATTTGCATTGCTGTGCAATGTCTTCGCACAGTGTGGTGCTTACAAACACTTTAGAGCGCTGCTCAGGAAGCGACGAGACGGAATTGCAAGACTCTGGCCAAGAAGATTTATCTTTCATCAGAAATGCGGGACCATGTAGCCACAAGTTGGACTGGACTAATTCGCTGGGCAAAGCTCCACGTGAAAGTATGTCCGCAGGATTCAAATCGGTTGGAATATATCGCCATTCCATTCCAGAGGTCAACTCTTGAATAGTTGCGTTGCGATTGGAAACGAAAATTTGAAACCTGGATGGCTCGCTGCGAATCCAAGATAGCGCTACTGCAGAATCAGACCAACAATAAAACTTGCAGTCGAATAACTCCATACGAGATATTTCGTTTATGACTTGTGCCAGCAAAACGGCTCCGCACAACTCTAGTCGGGGCACGGTCAACGATTTGAGTGGCGCCACACGAGATCTGGAACACAGCACCTCCGCACGAGATTGGCCTTGCGTGGTCGAAATGATGTAGACGCAAGCTCCATAGGCATCTATGCTGGCATCACTAAAACCATGCACTTCAATGGAAACACCAGGAGAAAGTGCAAGCCTTGGAAATTTCAGCTGCTTTGTGCGCTCAAAATCTGCAATAAGATTATGCCAAGATCTTGTCAATGATGCTGAAAGGCTTTCATCCCAATCAAGCTTTTCTCTCCAAAGCGCCTGCAGGAATATCTTAGCCTTTGCGATTACTGGTCCAATAAGGCCAAGCGGATCATAAAATCTGGCAATAGTTGACAAAACAGTGCACTTGCAAATTCGACCAGATGTCAATGTTGGCAGAAACGTGAAAATGAATAAATCTGTTGCAGGATCCCACGACAGTCCTAGAGTTTTTGTGATGTTACTGCCATCATCAAACTTAACTAGAGTTTCTTTGTCTTCTTCCGGAACTTGTTTGAGCACATCAGGATTGCTGGAGCACCACTTCCTTAGCTTGAAATTAGCCTTGGCAAGTAGCCCTGTGGTTTGTCTCATAATTTCTATGACTTCGTTTATAGAATCACCACCAGTGATTAAATCATCAACATAAAAATCGCGACGCAAGATATCGGAGCCAATAGGAAATAGCTCATGCTCATCTTCAGCCAGCTGATGCATAGTGCGAACGGAGAGAAAAGAGGCAGGCTTTGTACCGTAAGTGACGGTATCAAGACGGAAAACTTCAATAGGCTTTTGAGGCGAGTCACGCCATAGAATGCATTGAAAATAGCTATCCGGATTTGATACTCGCACGCAGCGGTACATCTTGCAGATTTCTCCTGTTAAAGCGATAGGAAACGTGCGAAATCGAACAAGCGTGTTTGCGAGCTTTGACTGAATGAAAGGACCAGCCATTAGGATGTCATTTAAAGAATGACCAGAGGACGTGGATGCAGAACCGTCAAACACGACTCTCAACTTTGTCGTTGTGCTGTCCTCCTTCAGAACGCAATGGTGCGGAAGGAAATACTTGCACAAATTTAGCGAAACTGGCGATACAAGCGACATATGACCCAACTCTAAATACTCCTTAATGAATGCAGAGTACTGTGCTTTGAGAAGTGGCTTGCGTTCTAACTTTCGCTCCAAGTTTATGAACCGAAGATAGGCTTGCGTATAGGAATCGCCAAGCAGATCTGTGCTGAGCTTTACAGGCAATCGGACGGAATACTCGCCAGTACGCAGGCGCCTGTAATTAGCCTTGAAATGCTCCTCGCAGTCGAACTCTTCTTTGGTGAGTTTTACAGCCAGATCGACACCACTTCCGAGTTCCCAAAAAGAGCGAACCATCTGCTCGATTCGTGTATTGCAATCCTGTGTAGACGGAGACTTGGATGCAACCAAAGCAGATTTCTGACGCTGCGAGCCACCTCCAGTAACTATCCAGCCCAAACGAGTCTTTTGCAGAAGTGGCAGGCCATCAGCCAGTTTAATCTGACCTACGCACAACAACTCGTAGAATAAATTGGCACCGATAAGAATATCAATTTGCTGTGGCTTGAAGAACGCCGGATCAGCTAAGCGGACATTGCTTGGTATATCCCAATGAGATATGTCAACCGTGAAATTTGGTTGGTTCTCAGTAATGGAAGGAGCGACCAAAGCAGTAATATTTGCGGAATAGTCAGTGACCAATGATTGCAAGCATAAGTGCACAGTGCAACCATCAGACTTGAAACTGTCGTCACCAAGACCAGACACAGAGGCCGACGACTTGGTCTTTCGAAGTTGGAGCCGGGGAGCGAATCGCGAAGTTATAATGTGCAACTGTGATCCGGAATCGAGCAGTGTCATGCACCAAATTAAAGGAGGCCTGAATACTTTGCAGCATTTCCACACGTTTTCGCAGCTCACTTTCTGAAATATTGTCAATTTCACAATCATTTGTTTTATTTTGAATAGAAAGCGCCCACGCATATAATGATTGCGCCTTGCGCTTATAAAACTCAACACTATTGCTCGTAGCCTGCACTGCATTGCCCACAGCTGCTGACGTCGAATCTGTTGGCGCAAGCGTCGCTGCATCAGCTACGTCAGCAGCAGCTGATGCGACAGCTTGGAAGGCGCGCATTTGACCGTCGCTCTCAGACATTATGAACGCGAGAGAGAACCGAAAATAGCAGAGATAAATGACGCGCGCGAATAACTGTTTTATCTGCTGATGTTCGTTGCCCTCAAAAACGTCGCTTCACACGGCTGCTTATTGGCGGTACAGTAGGCACTATGAACTTATACTTTTGCACTTATGTACTTGAATATTTTTTGTGTACAATGAACTCAATTATGTACGCCTTTGTTTTTTAACGCGATTAAGCAAGGTTTTGTGGAATTATTAATCACGTCGGGGTCACCAAAATGTATAATCATAAGCTTTTTTATGATTCGAAATATGCGAAATTATGTTGGCGAAATAATTGCAAAATAAGCGAAAACGAAATTGTTCAATTTAAAAGAGGTGCACAAATGTTTATTTTGCATAGGTAGCGATCGCCGAGATTTACAAAGTTTATGCTGGTAGACGGAAAGCTAAGCTTCTCCGTACCAGATGCGATAACGAAAAACGAACTTGACTTGCAGAGTTAGCGACAATAACTAGTACATATGTGGCGGCTGCGCAGCAGCCTATGCAAATTTATGGCAAGCAACAAAAGGAAACGTTAAGTGCTCGGCTTGCTATGCAAAGCAAGTGACAAGAAAACGAGCACTTTGCATTGAGTTATTTACGTTACTTATTAACTATGATGTGCTGCTGGTTTTGGCTGTTTTTGGCCGGATGACCAAACAGTGAGAACAGATGAGGTTGCATGCCAAATTCTTTAATGTACAGAGGTGTAATGTACACACAATAAGACAAGTATAATGTACAACCATACACATTCTATGGGCTGACGTTGTTGGGGGAGAGGGTCGGTGCGGGATACCTTGACTGCGGCTAGAAAAACAGCCTGTGGGAGGGTTCTTGACCGTACACTCCATCAACACCCATAATACATAATTAATTTATAGAGATCCCTATGCCTGGAACATAGAAAAAAAGAGAGAGTTGGGGCGGCACTTGCAATAGGCTAACAGTCAAAAAAAGAAAAAAGAAAGATAATGAAAAGAATCGGAAAATGTATTAGGAAACAGCAATACCAGATGGTGTGGTTGATACGCTCTCAACCCACTCTACCAATGATTTTTCCATTGTGCGTTATTTTATGAAAAATCCCAAGAAGAGGCTACTTCGCCTGCCTTATCCCTTTACATTAGGAAAAATATATTAAATTCAAAGTCATAGTTATTTTATTCAATATATAATGAAAAATACTAAATTCCAATTAAATTTCATTCTTTTCCATTTATAAAATTCAAGTAATCATAACGTAAACAAAAGAAAAACATAATCAAACTAAAATTAAAGGTTAAAATTCATCAATAGTACAAAAGAGTTGATAAACCAAAGTTATTCTGCATAAGCAAGAGTAATTCATAATTGCGATATAAGTTTGATTCCTCAAAACAATGAAATATGATATCAGAGTATTCCGGTTTAAAGAAAAAGCAATAATTCATGCATAAATATATCTAGTGATAAGCATAAGTGCATCGAGAGCACAAAGATAAAAACATTAGTATCAGTCGCTAGTAAAACAGTTATACCGATCTGTATCATCATGTAACGTTGTTACTCTGCCGCGGGTATGCTCGCCGGCCAGAGTATGCTGAAATAAATTGGTAAATTAGGCACCCCAAAGTGCCGAGGTGTCCAACAAATAAAAAGAGGGCGGTATGCCAAAACTTCTCCACGTGTCTTTAATTAATCCAAAATAACAAAAATGCAGCTCGCGCTTCAGTGCGTGTTGGGCGAGACCAAAAGAAGAACTAAAAACTAGCTGAACTTAAAATTACTCGCCTTCGTGACTCCCTAATCCTTACAAAATACTTGTTCGCTTACAACTACTCGTAATGACGCGCGGCTGCTCGCTACGCAACGCGTCATTACACGTCCCCCCTTCCTGAGCGGAACACGATCCGGTTGAGGGGGGTGGCTGCCAACGCCACCATCGGGATCCTTCCTTCTTCGGCCATCCGCCGCAAGCCATGCGCCTCCGCCGGTGAAAACATTGCCCAAGCGAGGGGCTTTGTGGAGCCGCCGCACCTCTCCAGCACGACCATCGGCTGCTCGCTCGCTGTGCCATCGGGCTCTCTGCCCCACGCCACAAACACTGGCCAGGGGACCCGCGGCTGTCCACCCGCGACCCCCTATGCAGCCATTGCAGCTCCTGCAGGCATCTGGCGTACGCCAGGCGCGCCTCCACGTCTCGCATGGCCCTTCTCACCCGCTGCTGATCTTCGCGCCGCTCGCCTTGTCGCTGCTCCCGACGCCGCAGCCTCTCATCCCGCTGCTGCTCCTCCAGCCGTAGCCTCTCCTCTCGCTGCTGCTCCTCCAGCCGCGCCTGTTGCGCCCGTTGGCGTCGCTCTCGCGCTCGACGGCCCCCGCGGTGCCCACGGCGGCGACGTCGGTTGCCTGCCGGCGTCGGTGATCTTGCTCGGGCGGGCGCCCGGAACTGGAAGTTCCGGGGGTCCCGATCGAATGCCATTTGTTTCTGGAGCCTGCGCCACTCTTCCAGGTCCCCGTAGCCCCTGTCCGCGTCCATGTTTCGTCGGGCCGAAGATTGCAGGGCCGATCTTAAATGCTTCCGATGTAATAAAAGCGGCCACATGTCAAAAGAATGTAAAGCAGAGAGAAATGTCAACATGGTCTATCAGGCAAAACGCTTAAAGAAGCTTATGGTCAACAACATTGAGGTGCAAGGGCTGGTCGATACGGGCGCTGACGTCACAATATATTTTTCTACTCTACGTGGCTTGGGAAGCAATTCAACGCGACCCTCTTGGATTTGTTATTGCCGAAGTTTTGATCGACGACATGAAAGTAGCCCATAAGTTTTTCGTTGTGGCTGACAGGGCCATAGAATGCGATGCACTTCTGGGATACGATTTCGTGAGCAAGTTTGGATTTACATTAACGGAAGCTGGCTACAAGTTTTCTCCCCTTGGGGAGGAAACTGACGAACCAAATCAGATAAGTATATTTAACGTAATCGAAACAAACACTGATCCACATGTACCTTCGCAGTTTAAAGATGCGGTGCAGACAATGATCGAGAGCTATAAACCAGCCGAATACAATATGACTGCTGCAGAAACTGATGTCATGCTGAAAATCGTTCCAGATGAAAACATCATGCCGTTTCAACACTCCCCAAGTCGTATTGCATTTGCTGAAGCTGAAGCAGTAAAAAAACAAATCGATGAGTGGCTCAAGGCAGAAATCATACGACCTTCTTCTTCAAATTTTGCAAGCCGTATCGTCGTTGTGAAGAAAAAGGATGAAAGCAACAGAGCTTGTGTCGATTTTCGCAAGCTTAATCAAATGGTTCTGAAGGACTGTTTTCTGGTTCCCATCATTGATGACGTTTTGGAAAAGCTGCAGAAGGCGCGGTACTTCACTTCAATGGATTTACAGAACGGTTTTTTCCACGTCTTGGTCGAGGAAAACAGCAAGAAGTATACTGCATTTGTTACTAAGGATGGTCTCTATGAATTCAACAGAGCACCTTTTGGCTTTTGTAATTCACCGGCTGTTTTCATACGATTTGTAAAACACGTGTTCCAAGGTTTACTAAGCGAAGATGTGATGGATTTATATATGGACGACATAATAATACACGCAGAGTCGCCGGAAGAGTGTCTCAGCAAGATGAAAAGAGTATTTGACACTGCAGCTGAAAACGCCTTACAAATAAATTGGAGAAAATGCCGTTTTCTGCAAACATCGATTAATTTCCTGGGACACACAGTTGAAGAGGGACGAATTAAGCCGGGCAAGGAGAAGACAGATGCCGTCAGCAAGTTTCCAGTGCCGAAAAATATCAGAGGAGTATAATCATTTCTTGGTCTGACAGGATTTTTTCGCAGATTCATACGGAAGTACTCTCAGATAGCAAAACCGCTCACAGATTTGTTGCGAAAAAGTGTACATTTCAAAATGGGACCTGACGAGTTGCTAGCTTTTCGTAACTTAAAAGAGGCCCTCATAGAAGAACCAATACTGCGACTGTACAACAGAGAGGCAAAAACGGAATTGCATACCGATGCATCGAAGGACGGCTTTGCAGCGGCTTTAATGCAATGGTTTGATGGTCAATTGCACCCTGTTTCATTCTGGAGTAAGAAGTCATCGGATGCAGAGTCTCGCAAGCATAGCTACATACAGGAGGCGAAGGCAATATATCTAGCAGTTAAGAAGTATCGCCATTATTTACTTGGCGTGTCGTTCAAGCTGGTTACGGACTGCGCTGCATTTAAACAGACCCTTAACAAAAACGATGTACCACGAGACGTTGCTCAATGGGTCGTATATTTGCAAGATTTTCAATTCAACGTAGAACACCGTGCAGGAGAGCGACTGAAGCATGTAGACTGTCTTAGCCGCTACCCACTGCAAGTCATGATGGTATCTTCGGAGTTAACAGCACGCATAAGGGCGTCGCAGCAGAAGGATCCTATGGTCAAGGCGATCTATGATATTCTCTCCATCCGTCCCTATGAGAACTTCAAAATAAAAGGCAGTTTGTTATTTAAAGTAGCGAATGGAGTTGATGTACTGGTGGTGCCAAAACTGATGGAAAAGGAGATCATACTGAACGCGCATAACATTGGACATTTTGCTGCACAAAAGACAATGCATACAATCCAGCAGACTTACTGGATCCCTCACCTGGAGAACAAAGTTGCACATGTTATAAATAATTGCGTACAGTGCATTGTGCACAACAAAAAGGTTGGCAAGAAAGAAGGTTTCCTTCATGTTATAGAAAAAGTCGTACTCCCGTTACATCATCATTATCTTGGCCCAATGGACTCCACTGCGAAGCAGTACAAGTATATATTTGCCATGGTGGATGGGTTTACCAAATTCGTATGGTTATACCCGACCAAAACAACAACAAGCGAAGAAGTGGTTAAGAAGCTTAGCGAATGGGCCGCAGTATTCGGAAATCCAATCCGTATTATCAGTGATCGGGGCACAGCATTCACAGCGGACGCATTTAAGCAGTATGCTGATTCAAATACTATCGGCCACGTTTGGAGTACCACAGGAGTTCCCCGCGGAAACGGTCAGATAGAACGAGTAAACCGTTCCGTGCTGGCGATTATATCGAAGTTGTCCTCGGAGCAACCAGCCAAATGGTTCAAATACGTGCCGATAGTCCAAAAATCCATAAACTCCACAGTCCACGTTGCTACTAAAAGATCACCTTTTGAGATAAAGTTTGGCGTAAAGATGCACAACTCTGCAGATAACCGAATTGTGGAAATGCTCGAAGAAGAAATGGTTGCTAATTTTGACAACGAAAGGCAATTATTACGACAAGCTGCGAAAAAATTATAAAAAACAGTACCATAAGAAGCGTAAAAGCGAATACGGATACCATATCGGCGATTTTGTGGCAATCCGTCGTACGCAATTTGTAGCAGGAAGGAAGTTGGCGAGCGAGTACCTTGGCCCATATGAGGTAACAAAAGTTAAAAGAAACGGGCGCTACGAGGTGCGAAAAGCAGCAAATGTTGAAGGACCAATAAGCACGGCCACAAGCTCTGATAACATGAAGCTTTGGAGGTATGCGGTGAACAACGAGGACCCATGGTCATCGGGGACCGATGACTAGTGCAGGATGGCCGAGTGTAAGATAGGCAGATGGGCAGTGGTGATATTGGCAAAGCGCACACAGGAGAATGGCATAGTAGAAGAGGAAGATCGACATCAGTAGTGAGTTGTCAGCCGTCGTCGGAAGGAGTCAGTTGTAAACGGTCGTTTCAAGCAGTCAGTCATCAACCGTCATATAAGCAGTCAGTAGTCAGCCGTCATAAGTAGTCGTGAGAAGTCGTAGTGCCGTTGTACAGCCGTACGCAGTTTTCTTGTATCCACCGTTGTTCGCAACAAATTTATGTAAGGTGAGAACAGATGAGGTTGCATGTCAAATTCTTTAATGTACAGAGGTGTAATGTACACACAATAAGACAAGTATAATGTACAACCATACACATTCTATGGGCTGACGTTGTTGGGGGAGAGGGTCGGTGCAGGATACCTTGACTGCGGCTAGAAAAACAGCCTGTGGGAGGGTTCTTGACCGTACACTCCATCAACACCCATAATACATAATTAATTTATAGAGATCCCTATGCCTGGAACATAGAAAAAAAGAGAGAGTTGGGGCGGCACTTGCAATAGGCTAACAGTCAAAAAAAGAAAAAAGAAAGATAATGAAAAGAATCGGAAAATGTATTAGGAAACAGCAATACCAGATGGTGTGGTTGATACGCTCTCTACCCACTCTACCAATGATTTTTCCATTGTGCGTTATTTTATGAAAAATCCCAAGAAGAGGCTACTTCGCCTGCCTTATCCCTTTACATTAGGAAAAATATATTAAATTCAAAGTCATAGTTATTTTATTCAATATATAATGAAAAATACTAAATTCCAATTAAACTTCATTCTTTTCCATTTATAAAATTCAAGTAATCATAACGTAAACAAAAGAAAAACATAATCAAACTAAAATTAAGGGTTAAAATTCATCAATAGTACAAAAGAGTTGATAAACCAAAGTTATTCTGCATAAGCAAGAGTAATTCAAAACAATGAAATATGATATCAGAGTATTCCGGTTTAAAGAAAAAGCAATAATTCATGCATAAATATATCTAGTGATAAGCATAAGTGCATCGAGAGCACAAAGATAAAAACATTAGTATCAGTCGCTAGTAAAACAGTTATACCGATCTGTATCATCATGTAACGTTGTTACTCTTCCGCGGGTATGCTCGCCGGCCAGAGTATGCTGAAATAAATTGGTAAATTAGGCACCCCAAAGTGCCGAGGTGTCCAACAAATAAAAAGAGGGCGGTATGCCAAAACTTCTCCACGTGTCTTTAATTAATCCAAAATAACAAAAATGCAGCTCGCGCTTCAGTGCGTGTTGGGCGAGACCAAAAGAAGAACTAAAAACTAGCTGAACTTAAAATTACTCGCCTTCGTGACTCCCTAATCCTTACAAAATACTTGTTCGCTTACAACTACTCGTAATGACGCGCGGCTGCTCGCTACGCAACGCGTCATTACACGTCCCCCCTTCCTGAGCGGAACACGATCCGGTTGAGGGGGGTGGCTGCCAACGCCACCATCGGGATCCTTCCTTCTTCGGCCATCCGCCGCAAGCCATGCGCCTCCGCCGGTGAAAACATTGCCCAAGCGAGGGGCTTTGTGGAGCCGCCGCACCTCTCCAGCACGACCATCGGCTGCTCGCTCGCTGTGCCATCGGGCTCTCTGCCCCACGCCACAAACACTGGCCAGGGGACCCGCGGCTGTCCACCCGCGACCCCCTATGCAGCCATTGCAGCTCCTGCAGGCATCTGGCGTACGCCAGGCGCGCCTCCACGTCTCGCATGGCCCTTCTCACCCGCTGCTGATCTTCGCGCCGCTCGCCTTGTCGCTGCTCCCGACGCCGCAGCCTCTCATCCCGCTGCTGCTCCTCCAGCCGTAGCCTCTCCTCTCGCTGCTGCTCCTCCAGCCGCGCCTGTTGCGCCCGTTGGCGTCGCTCTCGCTGCTGCTCCTCCAGCCGCGCCTGTTGTACCCGTTGGCGTCGCTCTCGCGCTCGACGGCCCCCGCGGTGCCCACGGCGGCGACGTCGGTTGCCTGCCGGCGTCGGTGATCTTGCTCGGGCGGGCGCCCGGAACTGGAAGTTCCGGGGGTCCCGATCGAATGCCATTTGTTTCTGGAGCCTGCGCCACTCTTCCAGGTCCCCGTAGCCCCTGTCCGCGTCCATGTTTCGTCGGGCCGAAGATTGCAGGGCCGATCTTAAATGCTTCCGATGTAATAAAAGCGGCCACATGTCAAAAGAATGTAAAGCAGAGAGAAGTGTCAACATGGTCTATCAGGCAAAACGCTTAAAGAAGCTTATGGTCAACAACATTGAGGTGCAAGGGCTGGTCGATACGGGCGCTGACGTCACAATATATTTTTCTACTCTACGTGGCTTGGGAAGCAATTCAACGCGACCTCTTGGATTTGTAGCCCATAAGTTTTTCGTTGTGGCTGACAGGGCCATAGAATGCGATGCACTTCTGGGATACGATTTCGTGAGCAAGTTTGGATTTACATTAACGGAAGCTGGCTACAAGTTTTCTCCCCTTGGGGAGGAAACTGACGAACCAAATCAGATAAGTATATTTAACGTAATCGAAACAAACACTGATCCACATGTACCTTCGCAGTTTAAAGATGCGGTGCAGACAATGATCGAGAGCTATAAACCAGCCGAATACAATATGACTGCTGCAGAAACTGATGTCATGCTGAAAATCGTTCCAGATGAAAACATCATGCCGTTTCAACACTCCCCAAGTCGTATTGCATTTGCTGAAGCTGAAGCAGTAAAAAAACAAATCGATGAGTGGCTCAAGGCAGAAATCATACGACCTTCTTCTTCAAATATTGCAAGCCGTATCGTCGTTGTGAAGAAAAAGGATGGAAGCAACAGAGCTTGTGTCGATTTTCGCAAGCTTAATCAAATGGTTCTGAAGGACTGTTTCTGGTTCCCATCATTGATGACGTTTTGGAAAAGCTGCAGAAGGCGCGGTACTTCACTTCAATGGATTTACAGAACGGTTTTTTCCACGTCTTGGTCGAGGAAAACAGCAAGAAGTATACTGCATTTGTTACTAAGGATGGTCTCTATGAATTCAACAGAGCACCTTTTGGCTTTTGTAATTCACCGGCTGTTTTCATACGATTTGTAAAACACGTGTTCCAAGGTTTACTAAGCGAAGATGTGATGGATTTATATATGGACGACATAATAATACACGCAGAGTCGCCGGAAGAGTGTCTCAGCAAGATGAAAAGAGTATTTGACACTGCAGCTGAAAACGCCTTACAAATAAATTGGAGAAAATGCCGTTTTCTGCAAACATCGATTAATTTCCTGGGACACACAGTTGAAGAGGGACGAATTAAGCCGGGCAAGGAGAAGACAGATGCCGTCAGCAAGTTTCCAGTGCCGAAAAATATCAGAGGAGTATAATCATTTCTTGGTCTGACAGGATTTTTTCGCAGATTCATACGGAAGTACTCTCAGATAGCAAAACCGCTCACAGATTTGTTGCGAAAAAGTGTACATTTCAAAATGGGACCTGACGAGTTGCTAGCTTTTCGTAACTTAAAAGAGGCCCTCATAGAAGAACCAATACTGCGACTGTACAACAGAGAGGCAAAAACGGAATTGCATACCGATGCATCGAAGGACGGCTTTGCAGCGGCTTTAATGCAATGGTTTGATGGTCAATTGCACCCTGTTTCATTCTGGAGTAAGAAGTCATCGGATGCAGAGTCTCGCAAGCATAGCTACATACAGGAGGCGAAGGCAATATATCTAGCAGTTAAGAAGTATCGCCATTATTTACTTGGCGTGTCGTTCAAGCTGGTTACGGACTGCGCCGCATTTAAACAGACCCTTAACAAAAACGATGTACCACGAGACGTTGCTCAATGGGTCGTATATTTGCAAGATTTTCAATTCAACGTAGAACACCGTGCAGGAGAGCGACTGAAGCATGTAGACTGTCTTAGCCGCTACCCACTGCAAGTCATGATGGTATCTTCGGAGTTAACAGCACGCATAAGGGCGTCGCAGCAGAAGGATCCTATGGTCAAGGCGATCTATGATATTCTCTCCATCCGTCCCTATGAGAACTTCAAAATAAAAGGCAGTTTGTTATTTAAAGTAGCGAATGGAGTTGATTTACTGGTGGTGCCAAAACTGATGGAAAAGGAGATCATACTGAACGCGCATAACATTGGACATTTTGCTGCACAAAAGACAATGCATACAATCCAGCAGACTTACTGGATCCCTCACCTGGAGAACAAAGTTGCACATGTTATAAATAATTGCGTACAGTGCATTGTGCACAACAAAAAGGTTGGCAAGAAAGAAGGTTTCCTTCATGTTATAGAAAAAGTCGTACTCCCGTTACATCGTCATCATCTTGGCCCAATGGACTCCACTGCGAAGCAGTACAAGTATATATTTGCCATGGTGGATGGGTTTACCAAATTCGTATGGTTATACCCGACCAAAACAACAACAAGCGAAGAAGTGGTTAAGAAGCTTAGCGAATGGGCCGCAGTATTCGGAAATCCAATCCGTATTATCAGTGATCGGGGCACAGCATTCACAGCGGACGCATTTAAGCAGTATGCTGATTCAAATACTATCGGCCACGTTTGGAGTACCACAGGAGTTCCCCGCGGAAACGGTCAGATAGAACGAGTAAACCGTTCCGAGCTGGCAATTATATCGAAGTTGTCCTCGGAGCAACCAGCCAAATGGTTCAAATACGTGCCGATAGTCCAAAAATCCATAAACTCCACAGTCCACGTTGCTACTAAAAGATCACCTTTTGAGATAATGTTTGGCGTAAAGATGCACAACTCTGCAGATAACCGAATTGTGGAAATGCTCGAAGAAGAAATGGTTGCTAATTTTGACAACGAAAGGCAATTATTACGACAAGCTGCGAAAAAATTATAAAAAACAGTACCATAAGAAGCGTAAAAGCGAATACGGATACCATATCGGCGATTTGGTGGCAATCCGTCGTACGCAATTTGTAGCAGGAAGGAAGTTGGCGAGCGAGTACCTTGGCCCATATGAGGTAACAAAAGTTAAAAGAAACGGGCGCTACGAGGTGCGAAAAGCAGCAAATGTTGAAGGACCAATAAGCACGGCCACAAGCTCTGATAACATGAAGCTTTGGAGGTATGCGGTGAACAACGAGGACCCATGGTCATCGGGGACCGATGACTAGTGCAGGATGGCCGAGTGTAAGATAGGCAGATGGGCAGTGGTGATATTGGCAAAGCGCACACAGGAGAATGGCATAGTAGAAGAGGAAGATCGACATCAGTAGTGAGTTGTCAGCCGTCGTCGGAAGGAGTCAGTTGTAAACGGTCGTTTCAAGCAGTCAGTCATCAACCGTCATATAAGCAGTCAGTAGTCAGCCGTCATAAGTAGTCGTGAGAAGTCGTAGTGCCGTTGTACAGCCGTACGCAGTTTTCTTGTATCCACCGTTGTTCGCAACAAATTTATGTAAGGTGAGAACAGATGAGGTTGCATGCCAAATTCTTTAATGTACAGAGGTGTAATGTACACACAATAAGACAAGTATAATGTACAACCATACACATTCTATGGGCTGACGTTGTTGGGGGAGAGGGTCGGTGCGGGATACCTTGACTGCGGCTAGAAAAACAGCCTGTGGGAGGGTTCTTGACCGTACACTCCATCAACACCCATAATACATAATTAATTTATAGAGATCCCTATGCCTGGAACATAGAAAAAAAGAGAGAGTTGGGGCGGCACTTGCAATAGGCTAACAGTCAAAAAAAGAAAAAAGAAAGATAATGAAAAGAATCGGAAAATGTATTAGGAAACAGCAATACCAGATGGTGTGGTTGATACGCTCTCCATTGTGCGTTATTTTATGAAAAATCCCAAGAAGAGGCTACCTGCCTTATCCCTTTACATTAGGAAAAATATATTAAATTCAAAGTCATAGTTATTTTATTCAATATATAATGAAAAATACTAAATTCCAATTAAACTTCATTCTTTTCCATTTATAAAATTCAAGTAATCATAACGTAAACAAAAGAAAAACATAATCAAACTAAAATTAAAGGTTGAAATTCATCAATAGTACAAAAGAGTTGATAAACCAAAGTTATTCTGCATAAGCAAGAGTAATTCATAATTGCGATATAAGTTTGATTCCTCAAAACAATGAAATATGATATCAGAGTATTCCGGTTTAAAGAAAAAGCAATAATTCATGCATAAATATATCTAGTGATAAGCATAAGTGCATCGAGAGCACAAAGATAAAAACATTAGTATCAGTCGCTAGTAAAACAGTTATACCGATCTGTATCATCATGTAACGTTGTTACTCTTCCGCGGGTATGCTCGCCGGCCAGAGTATGCTGAAATAAATTGGTAAATTAGGCACCCCAAAGTGCCGAGGTGTCCAACAAATAAAAAGAGGGCGGTATGCCAAAACTTCTCCACGTGTCTTTAATTAATCCAAAATAACAAAAATGCAGCTCGCGCTTCAGTGCGTGTTGGGCGAGACCAAAAGAAGAACTAAAAACTAGCTGAACTTAAAATTACTCGCCTTCGTGACTCCCTAATCCTTACAAAATACTTGTTCGCTTACAACTACTCGTAATGACGCGCGGCTGCTCGCTACGCAACGCGTCATTACACGTCCCCCCTTCCTGAGCGGAACACGATCCGGTTGAGGGGGGTGGCTGCCAACGCCACCATCGGGATCCTTCCTTCTTCGGCCATCCGCCGCAAGCCATGCGCCTCCGCCGGTGAAAACATTGCCCAAGCGAGGGGCTTTGTGGAGCCGCCGCACCTCTCCAGCACGACCATCGGCTGCTCGCTCGCTGTGCCATCGGGCTCTCTGCCCCACGCCACAAACACTGGCCAGGGGACCCGCGGCTGTCCACCCGCGACCCCCTATGCAGCCATTGCAGCTCCTGCAGGCATCTGGCGTACGCCAGGCGCGCCTCCACGTCTCGCATGGCCCTTCTCACCCGCTGCTGATCTTCGCGCCGCTCGCCTTGTCGCTGCTCCCGACGCCGCAGCCTCTCATCCCGCTGCTGCTCCTCCAGCCGTAGCCTCTCCTCTCGCTGCTGCTCCTCCAGCCGCGCCTGTTGCGCCCGTTGGCGTCGCTCTCGCTGCTGCTCCTCCAGCCGCGCCTGTTGTACCCGTTGGCGTCGCTCTCGCGCTCGACGGCCCCCGCGGTGCCCACGGCGGCGACGTCGGTTGCCTGCCGGCGTCGGTGATCTTGCTCGGGCGGGCGCCCGGAACTGGAAGTTCCGGGGGTCCCGATCGAATGCCATTTGTTTCTGGAGCCTGCGCCACTCTTCCAGGTCCCCGTAGCCCCTGTCCGCGTCCATGTTTCGTCGGGCCGAAGATTGCAGGGCCGATCTTAAATGCTTCCGATGTAATAAAAGCGGCCACATGTCAAAAGAATGTAAAGCAGAGAGAAGTGTCAACATGGTCTATCAGGCAAAACGCTTAAAGAAGCTTATGGTCAACAACATTGAGGTGCAAGGGCTGGTCGATACGGGCGCTGACGTCACAATATATTTTTCTACTCTACGTGGCTTGGGAAGCAATTCAACGCGACCTCTTGGATTTGTTATTGCCGAAGTTTTGATCGACGACATGAAAGTAGCCCATAAGTTTTTCGTTGTGGCTGACAGGGCCATAGAATGCGATGCACTTCTGGGATACGATTTCGTGAGCAAGTTTGGATTTACATTAACGGAAGCTGGCTACAAGTTTTCTCCCCTTGGGGAGGAAACTGACGAACCAAATCAGATAAGTATATTTAACGTAATCGAAACAAACACTGATCCACATGTACCTTCGCAGTTTAAAGATGCGGTGCAGACAATGATCGAGAGCTATAAACCAGCCGAATACAATATGACTGCTGCAGAAACTGATGTCATGCTGAAAATCGTTCCAGATGAAAACATCATGCCGTTTCAACACTCCCCAAGTCGTATTGCATTTGCTGAAGCTGAAGCAGTAAAAAAACAAATCGATGAGTGGCTCAAGGCAGAAATCATACGACCTTCTTCTTCAAATATTGCAAGCCGTATCGTCGTTGTGAAGAAAAAGGATGGAAGCAACAGAGCTTGTGTCGATTTTCGCAAGCTTAATCAAATGGTTCTGAAGGACTGTTTTCTGGTTCCCATCATTGATGACGTTTGGAAAAGCTGCAGAAGGCGCGGTACTTCACTTCAATGGATTTACAGAACGGTTTTTTTCCACGTCTTGGTCGAGGAAAACAGCAAGAAGTATACTGCATTTGTTACTAAGGATGGTCTCTATGAATTCAACAGAGCACCTTTTGGCTTTTGTAATTCACCGGCTGTTTTCATACGATTTGTAAAACACGTGTTCCAAGGTTTACTAAGCGAAGATGTGATGGATTTATATATGGACGACATAATAATACACGCAAAGACGCCGGAAGAGTGTCTCAGCAAGATGAAAAGAGTATTTGACACTGCAGCTGCAAACGCCTTACAAATAAATTGGAGAAAATGCCGTTTTCTGCAAACATCGATTAATTTCCTGGGACACACAGTTGAAGAGGGACGAATTAAGCCGGGCAAGGAGAAGACAGATGCCGTCAGCAAGTTTCCAGTGCCGAAAAATATCAGAGGAGTATAATCATTTCTTGGTCTGACAGGATTTTTTCGCAGATTCATACGGAAGTACTCTCAGATAGCAAAACCGCTCACAGATTTGTTGCGAAAAAGTGTACATTTCAAAATGGGACCTGACGAGTTGCTAGCTTTTCGTAACTTAAAAGAGGCCCTCATAGAAGAACCAATACTGCGACTGTACAACAGAGAGGCAAAAACGGAATTGCATACCGATGCATCGAAGGACGGCTTTGCAGCGGCTTTAATGCAATGGTTTGATGGTCAATTGCACCCTGTTTCATTCTGGAGTAAGAAGTCATCGGATGCAGAGTCTCGCAAGCATAGCTACATACAGGAGGCGAAGGCAATATATCTAGCAGTTAAGAAGTATCGCCATTATTTACTTGGCGTGTCGTTCAAGCTGGTTACGGACTGCGCCGCATTTAAACAGACCCTTAACAAAAACGATGTACCACGAGACGTTGCTCAATGGGTCGTATATTTGCAAGATTTTCAATTCAACGTAGAACACCGTGCAGGAGAGCGACTGAAGCATGTAGACTGTCTTAGCCGCTACCCACTGCAAGTCATGATGGTATCTTCGGAGTTAACAGCACGCATAAGGGCGTCGCAGCAGAAGGATCCTATGGTCAAGGCGATCTATGATATTCTCTCCATCCGTCCCTATGAGAACTTCAAAATAAAAGGCAGTTTGTTATTTAAAGTAGCGAATGGAGTTGATGTACTGGTGGTGCCAAAACTGATGGAAAAGGAGATCATACTGAACGCGCATAACATTGGACATTTTGCTGTACAAAAGACAATGCATACAATCCAGCAGACTTACTGGATCCCTCACCTGGAGAACAAAGTTGCACATGTTATAAATAATTGCGTACAGTGCATTGTGCACAACAAAAAGGTTGGCAAGAAAGAAGGTTTCCTTCATGTTATAGAAAAAGTCGTACTCCCGTTACACACGCTGCACGTGGATCATCTTGGCCCAATGGACTCCACTGCGAAGCAGTACAAGTATATATTTGCCATGGTGGATGGGTTTACCAAATTCGTATGGTTATACCCGACCAAAACAACAACAAGCGAAGAAGTGGTTAAGAAGCTTAGCGAATGGGCCGCAGTATTCGGAAATCCAATCCGTATTATCAGTGATCGGGGCACAGCATTCACAGCGGACGCATTTAAGCAGTATGCTGATTCAAATACTATCGGCCACGTTTGGAGTACCACAGGAGTTCCCCGCGGAAACGGTCAGATAGAACGAGTAAACCGTTCCGAGCTGGCAATTATATCGAAGTTGTCCTCGGAGCAACCAGCCAAATGGTTCAAATACGTGCCGATAGTCCAAAAATCCATAAACTCCACAGTCCACGTTGCTACTAAAAGATCACCTTTTGAGATAATGTTTGGCGTAAAGATGCACAACTCTGCAGATAACCGAATTGTGGAAATGCTCGAAGAAGAAAAGGTTGCTAATTTTGACAACGAAAGGCAATTATTACGACAAGCTGCGAAAAAATTATAAAAAACAGTACCATAAGAAGCGTAAAAGCGAATACGGATACCATATCGGCGATTTGGTGGCAATCCGTCGTACGCAATTTGTAGCAGGAAGGAAGTTGGCGAGCGAGTACCTTGGCCCATATGAGGTAACAAAAGTTAAAAGAAACGGGCGCTACGAGGTGCGAAAAGCAGCAAATGTTGAAGGACCAATAAGCACGGCCACAAGCTCTGATAACATGAAGCTTTGGAGGTATGCGGTGAACAACGAGGACCCATGGTCATCGGGGACCGATGACTAGTGCAGGATGGCCGAGTGTAAGATAGGCAGATGGGCAGTGGTGATATTGGCAAAGCGCACACAGGAGAATGGCATAGTAGAAGAGGAAGATCGACATCAGTAGTGAGTTGTCAGCCGTCGTCGGAAGGAGTCAGTTGTAAACGGTCGTTTCAAGCAGTCAGTCATCAACCGTCATATAAGCAGTCAGTAGTCAGCCGTCATAAGTAGTCGTGAGAAGTCGTAGTGCCGTTGTACAGCCGTACGCAGTTTTCTTGTATCCACCGTTGTTCGCAACAAATTTATGTAAGGTGAGAACAGATGAGGTTGCATGCCAAATTCTTTAATGTACAGAGGTGTAATGTACACACAATAAGACAAGTATAATGTACAACCATACACATTCTATGGGCTGACGTTGTTGGGGGAGAGGGTCGGTGCGGGATACCTTGACTGCGGCTAGAAAAACAGCCTGTGGGAGGGTTCTTGACCGTACACTCCATCAACACCCATAATACATAATTAATTTATAGAGATCCCTATGCCTGGAACATAGAAAAAAAGAGAGAGTTGGGGCGGCACTTGCAATAGGCTAACAGTCAAAAAAAGAAAAAAGAAAGATAATGAAAAGAATCGGAAAATGTATTAGGAAACAGCAATACCAGATGGTGTGGTTGATACGCTCTCAACCCACTCTACCAATGATTTTTCCATTGTGCGTTATTTTATGAAAAATCCCAAGAAGAGGCTACTTCGCCTGCCTTATCCCTTTACATTAGGAAAAATATATTAAATTCAAAGTCATAGTTATTTTATTCAATATATAATGAAAAATACTAAATTCCAATTAAATTTCATTCTTTTCCATTTATAAAATTCAAGTAATCATAACGTAAACAAAAGAAAAACATAATCAAACTAAAATTAAAGGTTAAAATTCATCAATAGTACAAAAGAGTTGATAAACCAAAGTTATTCTGCATAAGCAAGAGTAATTCATAATTGCGATATAAGTTTGATTCCTCAAAACAATGAAATATGATATCAGAGTATTCCGGTTTAAAGAAAAAGCAATAATTCATGCATAAATATATCTAGTGATAAGCATAAGTGCATCGAGAGCACAAAGATAAAAACATTAGTATCAGTCGCTAGTAAAACAGTTATACCGATCTGTATCATCATGTAACGTTGTTACTCTGCCGAGGGTATGCTCGCCGGCCAGAGTATGCTGAAATAAATTGGTAAATTAGGCACCCCAAAGTGCCGAGGTGTCCAACAAATAAAAAGAGGGCGGTATGCCAAAACTTCTCCACGTGTCTTTAATTAATCCAAAATAACAAAAATGCAGCTCGCGCTTCAGTGCGTGTTGGGCGAGACCAAAAGAAGAACTAAAAACTAGCTGAACTTAAAATTACTCGCCTTCGTGACTCCCTAATCCTTACAAAATACTTGTTCGCTTACAACTACTCGTAATGACGCGCGGCTGCTCGCTACGCAACGCGTCATTACACGTCCCCCCTTCCTGAGCGGAACACGATCCGGTTGAGGGGGGTGGCTGCCAACGCCTCCATCGGGATCCTTCCTTCTTCGGCCATCCGCCGCAAGCCATGCGCCTCCGCCGGTGAAAACATTGCCCAAGCGAGGGGCTTTGTGGAGCCGCCGCACCTCTCCAGCACGACCATCGGCTGCTCGCTCGCTGTGCCATCGGGCTCTCTGCCCCACGCCACAAACACTGGCCAGGGGACCCGCGGCTGTCCACCCGCGACCCCCTATGCAGCCATTGCAGCTCCTGCAGGCATCTGGCGTACGCCAGGCGCGCCTCCACGTCTCGCATGGCCCTTCTCACCCGCTGCTGCTCTTCGCGCCGCTCGCCTTGTCGCTGCTCCCGACGCCGCAGCCTCTCATCCCGCTGCTGCTCCTCCAGCCGTAGCCTCTCCTCTCGCTGCTGCTCCTCCAGCCGCGCCTGTTGCGCCCGTTGGCGTCGCTCTCGCTGCTGCTCCTCCAGCCGCGCCTGTTGTACCCGTTGGCGTCGCTCTCGCGCTCGACGGCCCCCGCGGTGCCCACGGCGGCGACGTCGGTTGCCTGTCGGCGTCGGTGATCTTGCTCGGGCGGGCGCCCGGAACTCGAAGTTCCGGGGGTCCCGATCGAATGCCATTTGTTTCTGGAGCCTGCGCCACTCTTCCAGGTCCCCATAGCCCCTGTCCGCGTCCATGTTTCGTCGCTTTTTTTTTTTTAATTTATATTATTTTCTCCAAATTTTCCGACGCGCCGGTCTCCTCGTGTAATCTTGTTGTGACAGCTGTTTTGTTAGCGCTGCCAACTCTCGCGGTTTGCCAGTACTACACATGCCCGGCGGTCTATCGTCGGTGTTACCACTCGCAGACTGATGCGATAGTGGCCGGTGCTGCCACTTATCGCATCTCCACGATAACACTTTATCGACGGCCACCTGTCGCTCTGGCAACTCGAAATCACCGCCCACATGTTTATGTTGTGCTTGGCTTCCGGTCCTGGGCTATTTTTCTGCGTTGTGCCCAACCTCCTTTTCGTCGTGTTTGTCCAGCTGATCGCCCGGTCCTTGTCCATCCGCGGTGCCCCTGGCATATTTGGCGCTGTTTTGGTATCTCGACTGGTGTGGTAATTCATGTCGCTTCATCAGGCCTGGAACGTAACAACAAGTTTTATCTAATTATGTTTTAGGCTTACATGGGCATCTTCTTCGGCCAGAACGGCCACTTTGCCGCTCCCGCTTGGGTGGACGCCGGTTGTATTGCTGTTGCTGCTGTCGGTGTGGCCGCTAGGGCCCTGGTTGCTATAACTGCTGTCGAGGCTGTCGTGCGGCTGCTGCGACCGCGGCTGCTGTCGTCGTGTTCGTTGACATGGCCGATTTTGTTGCCCGGACTGCCGCTGTGGCTGCGGAGATTGGTGTTGCGGCTGCTGTTGTGGTCGCTGAGCAATGGACTGCTGTGGCTGCTGTGAAGCTGTCGGTGGCGTGGTCCTGGTGACCATACTAACGCTGCCTCTGTCGTCGCTGCCTTCGTCGGCTTCGCTGTCTTCACCGCATTCACCGCTTTTAGATCCCGCACATGTGCCGTTCTACCTCTGCCGCCCGCCACTGGTTGTACACGCACTATGACTGGGGATATAAATGCTCGCACCGTGAATGGTCCATCGAAGCGAGGCGCCAGCTTGGCCGCAAACTGCTCGGCTGCGTTGGACAGGTGATGCTGTCGCACGAGCAACTCGCCGCCCAGTTTGGGTCGCCACTCGCGTCTCCGCAGATTGTACTGGCATGCCTGATCCTCGCTGGCCACCCCTTGGTTTCTTCTTGCTATACGGGCAACAAACTGTAGCAGCGTCGCGTGTGTTTCGGGACTACCTGGTGCTGCCTCAGGGGCGTCAGGATCCCTGCTGTACAGTGTGTGTGGATGCCGTGGTTCTCTCCCAAATAGGATGAAAGCCGGTGAGTAGCCCGTTGCGTCTGAAATTGCTGTATTAATGGCCAATTGTGCTTCCGGCAGTTGTTCGTCCCACGTGTTGTGCTGCCCGTCCGCCAGCTGAGCAATCAATGTTTTGACCGTTCTATTGGTCCGCTCCGTGGGATTCTCCTGAGGTGTGTATGGTGCCGTCAGTTGTTGCTGTATGCTGTATTGCTCGTAAACTGGGCTCCATTGTCTGTAATGAGCTTTCTTGGTGTGCCAAACCCTGCCAGAATCCGCTCTCGCAAAGCCAGCTTCACTGCCGCTGCCGTCGCCTTGCGGATGGGGACCAGTTCTGCCCATTTACTGAACTTATCGACCAGGACCAGTAGATACGCGTTGCCTCGTTTGGATCGCGGCAGCGGCCCCACAAAATCGGCGCAGACGACGTCCCACGCTGCCTCCGCTGGTTTGAAGTGCATCTTGCCTGCCGTCAGCTGTTGCTGGCTTTATAGCGTTGGCACAACAGGCACTGGTGCACATACTTCGCTACGTCGCGATACAGACCAGGCCAGTGGTATCGGTCTGGAACGCGTGCACAGGTTCGGCGTACTCCCATATGGCCCGCCGTTGCGTCGTCGTGGCATTCCCTCAGCACCTCCTGTCGTAGAGGCGCGGCCACGCATAGCCTCCATGGTGACACCTCATCTTCTCCTAGCACGTGGGCGATGCGGCGGTACAGCCTGTCGTTCTGTATGGCGTAATCTGGGTACTTGCTGGGACTCTCCAACACCGCTGCCGTCAGCCGCTGTAACCATTTACAAGTTGGTGCTGCCTCTGACTCCACGTGTGCACGGCCGATCACCTCGCGTGGTTGTCGTGGCAGTGCGTCGGCCACCACATTCAAGGCTCCTTTTCGGTACTGGACATCGGTGTACTGCTGCAGCTCCAAAGCCCAACGTGCGATGCGGCCGGTGGGGCTCTCAATCGAGTTGAGCCAACGCAACGCCAAGTGATCGGTCACGACAGTGAAATGGTAGCCTTCCAAATAGTGTCGCAGTTTTCGGATTCCCCAAACAATTGCGAGGCACTAGGAAATTACGTGTTCGTGGCCGTCTATGTCTTGCGTCAGAACCGCGCCCAGCCCACACTCGCTGGCGTCCGTCTGTAGGCAGAAACGTCGAGAGAAATCGGGGCACGGCAACACCGGAGCTTCCATCAACTGCTTCTGGATACACTGGAATGCCTCCTGCTGCTGTTTTCCCCAACTCCACTTGTGGCCCTTCTTCAACAGTTCGGTAAGGGGCCCAACCGTTGTGGCGAAATTTGGTACGAAGCGTCGATACCACGAGGCCATTCCAATGTACTGCCGCAATTGTTTCAGATTTGATGGCGGCTTCAGCTCGTGGATAGCTGCTACCTTCTCCGGATCCGTTTGGATGCCCGCCTCCGTCACTAGATGCCCCAGGTACCTAATGGATTTACGAAAGAATTCGCACTTATCTCGATTTATTCGCAGATTGGCCGCCCGCAGTCGCCGGAACACCTCGCGCAAGTTGCTCAAGTGTTCCTCGAACGTCCTGCCGACCACCACTATGTCGTCGAGGTATGCAAACGCGTGCGGTGCCATGTCCGGGCCGATGACGCTGTCCAACGCCCTCTGGAATGTTGCGGGCGAAGAATGCAGGCCGAACGGCATCACACGCCACTGGAACAGCCCGCGTCCTGGCACCGTGAATGCTGTATATCGCTGGCTTTCACGCTCCATCGGAATCTGCCAGTACCCATTCCGCAAATCGATGCTACTTATGTATTTGGCCTGGCGCAGCTGCTCCAAAATGTGCTGGATCCGCGGAATTGGGTACGCATCTGGTTCTGAGCGTTCGTTCAGCTGTCGGTAGTCGATGCACATCCTCCAGGCGCCTGTCTTCTTGCGCACCAACACGATAGGTGCGCTGTAGGCACTATCGGATTGCTCGATGCAGCCCTTTGCCAGCAATTCGTCGACTTCTTGATTGATCACTGCCTGCATGGCCGGATTCCGGGGGTAGTACCGCTGTTTGATGGGACGCTCGTCTTTCATCCGGATTGTGTGCACCGCCGCCGACGAGACTCCTGAGATGCTCTCAAAGCTTGCCAGTTCCCCCTCGATGAACTTGGCGGCCGTCTGGTTCTGCTGCTCCGTTAGGTGGGCGGCTATAGTGAGCCCCACCTGTTCGCTTGTCACCAAGGCTGCATGTCGGGCTCTGCGATTTCGCCTCTGCCGTCTGCGTGGCTGTGGATCGTTCGTTCGCAGTTCTACAGTTTGGCCGCCCACAGTCACCGCCCCGTTGGCCATTTGGACGTAATCCAGTCCCAATGTGAGCTCATCTATGCATCCGGGGAGTGTGAGCAGCGGCAGTACTACACGACTGTCGCCCACCGTGACCGTCGCCTTCGTTTCCTCACGGACCGTCTTCTGTGTCCCGTCAGCCATGGACACAGTCACGCTCACGGACCGTACATTTTCTCCATCTGGCGCCCGCAGGCGTTGCGCCAGCCTCGGACTCGCGAAGCTGCGTGTCGCTCCGGTGTCCACGACCGCCTCTACCAGTACACCATCACAGTCTACTGATAGCGCGGCCGCTACCCTGCGTGTCGTTGTTAATTGGAATTTGCCTGCGTGAGCTCGCCGGCTGTTGATGTGGGACGAGCCCCCCTGGCGTTTCCCGTCGCGCGTCGGCAGCATTCGTTCGCACGCACCCCTATCTTACCACAGTCCCAATAGTAGAACTGTTGAGAGTTTGGGCACGCGTCCATACTGTGCGCTCCCATCCCGCAACGTCTGCAGATGGGAGGGCGACGATGCGTGTCCGCTGGGCCAACCGCCACCGTCTGTGGGATCGGCGTAGGGTGTGTTGCGTTCGTCTCATCATTGCCGGCCGCCTGTGACCGTGCTAAGACTGCTTGGTACACGCCCTGTGCCGCCTGTACGTACCCATGGAGTGAGCTCACTTCTTCGCCTGCCAGGCGGAGATTGGCGCGTATTTCTGGTAGCCCGTTGGCGTGGACAAGTCTCAGCTGCTCCTCTGCAGTCATCTCCGCGCCGCGCATCAGTCGTTGCATCGCTCGGACATACTCGATAGGGCCCTCTGATGCGCCCTGGACCCGGCTGTATGCTTCCCGCCGGCGCTCTTCTATGTGGGGACCCGCTGGATACTCATTTAGTAGGTCTTGGCGGAACTCGGCCCACCGTTGTGCCAAATTGCGTCTTGACCACTCCCACTCCTTCGCCTCGCCAACCAGGACTTCCGGTAACACGGTCACCAACTCATCTAATCGCACGTTGCTCATCTCTGCCTTATCTTCCAGATCCCGGAGGAACGTTCTTGGGTCCCCGCTGCCGTCAAATCGGACGCCCCACTGGGCTACCTGTGTCTGCAGCGCGGATCGTCTGTCTCGTTCGGCTGATGTTGGCGCATGTTGTTCTGCCACCGCCTGCGCACTCGCGAGCGGCGGCGCTGGAGTTGGTGCTGTTGGGTCATCTTCGTCAGGTGCATCACCAGCAGGAGCAGCAAACGCGGTGGACGCGCAGATCTGGCTCAACAGTTTCTGGAAACCATCCTCCATGGTCTGGGCCAACCGGTGGGTGTACTGCGCCAACGCAACTGTCATCGAATCGGCAATTGCTTGTGCCAGGTCTACCGTTGAGGGCACTGGAGCCACTGTTGGCGTCGCTGAGGCTGCCGTGGGCTTGGCTGCGGCAGCTTCAGGCGAGGCCGCGACCGCTACCGAAATGGTCGGCACTGTCGCTGGAGTTAGCGATGTCGTCCACGTTGGGTGCAGCTCGCACCGGGACCACGGCTGGTGTCGTGTTTGCCTCTGTCACGGCGAGCAGCCCCTCCGGTACGTCCTCTTGTTTCGGGACTCCCAGCCGTCCGCCGGGCACCGGGCTCAACTGGCCTGCCGCCGCGGTACGCGACGACATGTTTTCGTGATATGCCGCTAGGCGGGGTCGGTACTCTTCTTTGGCCGACTTCACGAACGTGGAAAGCCGCGACCGCAACGCCTCCACGTTGCCGGTCTCCTCGATTTCGAACTAGCGCATCACCGCGCTGAGCTCTTCCTTCCGCAGCACACGTACCCAGCTCGTTCGTAGCATCGTAGGTCCACGCTCTCTTCCCTACTTGGTCGGATCTAACCTCAAACTTCTTTGGAGTCCCTGCTCGGGCGCCACTTGTAACGTTGTTACTCTGCCGCGGGTATGCTCGCCGGCCAGAGTATGCTGAAATAAATTAGGCACCCCAAAGTGCCGAGGTATCCAACAAATAACAGTATATTAATTAACTTCTCTAGAATAAAAAGTTCTAAGTACAGCAAATACATATGATTGAATTATAGCAACAGCTGATTCAAGGACTAATAAAGCAATTTGTGCAATTAGTAAAAATGTTTGATCGCTCAGATCATCCAAAGTTGCCGGTAGGCAAAGTGAAGGGGTCCCTCGTCGCGACGATCAAATCAAAGATGTATGTGTGTATATAAGTACCCTTGTACTTATATGCACGAACGCACTGGCTTGTGTATGCACTGAAGAGCACCGAAACGAAAGAAAGTAAACTGCACAAATCGACTTCCAATTTTCAAGTGCTTTATTGCTAGCCATGCAAGCCTTAGCATACGCATAACATAATGTGGACATTAACTTAACAGCGACCAAGAGACTAACATAAACAGCTGTTATTACAAATTAACATTTATGAGCGCTTACAACTAATTACTTACAAACGGCTTAAGTCTACAATTCAATGATAATTCAAACAACTTATATCTACAATTCAGATTATTTCAACAAACTTAAATCTATACTTAAGTATAAAGGCATGAAATGCCCTTACATCGGCCGCGTTGAAGCGATTCGCTTCAAAACAGCTCGACTGGCAGAGGCGTCAAGCGATGAATTGCCCTCTTAAATTCTCCTGCCTTCGTCCGTACTATCGCCACGCGCACTTTTCCATCTGCGCCTTTTATCGCCTCTTCGACGACTCCCAGCATCCACTGCTGAGGCGGCGCGTTGTCCTCGTGGACGAGTACGATCGTTCCGTTTTCCAGATCTGGCCGACCTACTGCCCACTTTTGGCGCTGCTGCAGGCTCAGCAGGTAGTCTTTTGACCAGTCTGCCCAAAACCGCTGCTTGATGCCTGAGATCAGCTGCCAGCGTTGCAAGTAGGTCAGCCTGTCGTCTCTCACGGGCTGCCCTGACCCGGTTGGCAGCGGCACGAGCGTTCCGCCTACGAGTAGGTGAGCTGGAGTTATCGCCTCGCCGTCGTTGGGATTGGCTCCGTCCACCACGATTGGCCGCGAATTGAGGATGGCCTTCACCTCTACCAGTACGGTTGCTAGCTCGTCCTGCCGCAGCTTGGCGCTTCCTATTGCCTTGAGGAGGAGCCCCTTTGCCGACTTTACCGCCGCTTCCCATAGGCCGCCGAAATGCGGCGCTCGAGGGGGAATAAACTGGAACGTTATTCCTTTGGTGGCAGCATACGACCTGATGGCATCCTGGGTGCTGATGAAAGTGGCCCGGAACTCCTCCAGCAAGCGCGCTGCACCCACAAAATTGGCGGCATTGTCGCAGTATAGCTGCTTGACTGCTCCACGGCGACCCACAAACCTGGATAAACACATTATAAAAGAATTAGCAGTCAAGTCAGAAAACGATATCAATGTGCACAGCTTTGGACGTAAAACAAACAAAGACGGCAACGTACATCTTAACTGGCGCTCTGCCACGTATCCCCAGCGTAACAGGAATTGGACCACAAAAGTCCACTCCGCTGACTTCAAACGGCTTACATCCATGTAGCCGATCAGCAGGTAAATTTCCCATTATTTGGTTGGCTAGTATTGGCTTGTATCGAAAACAATGCACATACTGCCGAACCACTGCGCTGCACGCTTGCTTAGCGTTTACTAGCCAAGTATTCTGGCGAAAAATAGCCAAGAGCGCACGAGGGCCTGCATGGCAATTGGTAACGTGCAAGTATCGCATATATAAATTAACAAATCGCCATCCCTTTGGCATGAGTAATGGGAATCTCGCATTGTGGGGCAACGACGCTTTGAGTAAACGGCCGCCAACTCGTACCAACATCAAAGTTCGCTTTCCATACTGATACGGACTCAGAAATGGATTAAGCTTTTGGTACGATGGTTACAGGATCACCGACTTGTCTAATTTGACTATTTCGGCTGCGAGAGCAGTATGCTGGATCACGTGCACAATAGCCAAAAAGGCGAAGTGCAATTCAGCCGAAGTTGGCACAAGCGATATGTGTCCTGACCCCTTTCCGTTTATAAGTCGAAACATGAACGACACTATGCGGAGAATTTTTAAGTACGACGACGACCTTTCAATTAAATTTAAAATTGCTTCTCCAGCACTGATTGCTCTTTGGTCAACTTAATTTGAGAATTAGTTGGCCAAAGGTTCTGGTCATACTGTAAAAACTTTGGACCACCAAACCAATGTGAATCAATCAATTCTGCAGTGGTACAACCACGCGAAGTTAAGTCAGCTGGATTTTCTGCAGTCGGTACATGGCGCCAAGTGGCGTCTGATGTCAATTCCTGTATGGTAGCAACTCTATTGGCGACAAATGTATTCAAATGTGAAGGATGAGTTTGCAACCAATGCAGGACTACCTCTGAATCAAACCAAAATACGATTTGGTCAACAGGCACATGGAGAAGATGCCGAGCTTTTTCCCACAAATTTGCTAGCAACTGTGCTGCGCACAATTCTAAGCGTGGCACCGACTTTGTCTTCAGAGGCGCTACCTTCGACTTTGCAGTCAGCAACTTCACAGTTACTGTGTGCTCTCGCTCAATTCGCAGGTAAATACAGCACCCATAAGCCCTTGTCGATGCGTCGGCAAAGCCATGAACCTGACACTTTGTGCCTTTGGTGACGCCAACATATCGGGGAATGCGTATAGCTTCAATCTCACAAAATGACTGCGCAATTGACTGCAAGTCGGACAGTAAATGGTCGGGAATTTGGTCATCCCAAGCGGATTTTTGAAGCCAAATTTCTTGCATCCGAATTTTTGGTCGAGTGATAATCGGACAAAGTAAACCAAGAGGGTCGTATAATCTGGATATAAACGACAAAATCGAGCGCTTGGTGGGGGCAATGTTTGTCGACATGTTCGACATCGAATATTTAAAAGCGTCTTCACGCGGGCTCCAAATGAGCCCCAACGTCTTCGTATCCTCCTGATGGCCGATCACCATTTCGTCAGAAGGCGACGCTTTAAATGTTTCACAATTTGATGCCCATTTCGTTAAGGTGAAACCGAATGATTCGAGCACTGAAACTAGCTGATTCCGTAGCATTCGCAATTCTTCTACTGTGTCTGCTCCAGATAGCAGATCATCTACATAGATATCGCTAGCCAGCGACTTTGATGCCAATGGATGGGAAACCGCATGTAGCTCACTCAGGTACTTTAAGCAACGAATTGCCAAAAAAGGTGCCGAAGCAGTACCGTATGTTACCGTGTTTAAACGATACAATTGGAGTGGTTCAGTGGAGTTGCTTCTCCAAATAATAAGTTGGAATTTGCGATGCGATTCGTTGATTTTGACTTGTCGGTACATTTTTGCAATGTCTGCCGACAGGGCGAATAGATGAAGTCGAAATCGCAACAATGTTGAGTATAGACATGGCTGTATGGTTGGACCAACCATCAGGATGTCATTTAAAGACAATTGTGACGACGTCTTGCTAGACGCGTCGAAAACCACTTGGTACGGTATAAAATAATGCGGCTCTCTCGGTACACTGTTCTCAATGGCACTCATATGGCCCAACGAAATGTACTCTTTCATAAAGGTAATGTACATCGACTGTGTATCAGGCTGCTTTGCCATTCTTCTTTCCAGAGCCAAAAACCGCCTTAAGGCTGACTCATACGAATTTACGAGACTTTTGGGACTGGATTTTTCTCGCAAAGCACTTGTTCTGGGGTGTACAAACTCTGGTCGGACAAATTTGGAACTTCTTCCAACTCCCAGCCAAGTGCCGTAAATTGCAAAGCCGGCGAGTCACTGGTACCCTTTATTTGCCCTTCTCGTAGCAAATCAAAAAATGCATCTGCCCCAAGTAGCAGATCTATGCGTTGCGGCCGATGGAATTGCGGATCTGCCAATTCACAACCGTTAGGCACGTCAACGTCTACTACCAGTTTTTCAGTCTGGTACGAAGAAATGTTATTCAACACTGTAAATTCTGCCGTCAGCTCAAATTTGTCAATTCGAGAAGCTATAGAAGTTTGAACGATATGACGTACTTCAGACTTTTGTTTGCCTATGTCTAATAAACAAATGTCTTTGCGCTCCCTCTTAAGCTTTAGGACTCTGGCCAAGTCCTCGGTCTTAAAATTGACCTGCGAACCAGAGTCTAAAAGTGCCCTGGCTAATTGGTAGGAACCTGACTGGTCCATTACCTTAACAATTGCTGTTGCTAAGATTACTTGGTCAGTCACTGTCGTGGCGTGGTTTACCGCCGACGTTTGTGTTGGTACTGCCGATTGTGCTACCAACGTGTGACTAGAAGCCGCAGCTTGCGAAATGTTCGAACTATATTCGTACTTGTGCAAGAGCGTGTGATGCGGCTTCGAACAGACTCTGCAACAACCAGACTTGCAGGATTTAGTCGTATGACCTTTTCGCACACAGTTTATGCACAACTGGACCCGTTTCACAAACTTAAAAGGCTCATCTCTAGCGATCGCTGAAAATTGAGGACATACTTGTATGTAGTGGTTATTCGACTGACAAAACGGACACTTAGGGGTCAATGGCTGACTTGGTTGTGCTACTGCCAACGCCGTTTTACCATTCCTTTTTGACCCATCGGAACTTGGCTTCTTAGGCCGGCCAGACGATGCCTCCTCAGCAGACAGATGCTGGTAGCGTTTATTAAGA